CAGCGAGATAACTCCTACGAGGAGACCACTCGCTCCATCCTACGACCCGCAGCGAGGAAACTCCCACGAGGAGCCAACTCGCTCGGTCCTACGAACCCACAGCGAGATAACTCCTATGAGGAGACCACTCGCTCCATCCTACGATCCGCAGCGAGGAAACTCCCACGAGGAGCCAACTCGCTCGGTCCTACGAACCCACAGCGAGATAACTCCTACGAGGAGACCACTCGCTCCATCCTATGATCCGCAGCGAGATTACTCCCACGAGGAGCCAACTCGCTCGGTACTACAACCTACAGCGAGATAACTCCCACGAGGAGACAACTCGCTCGGTATCCCAACCCGCAGCGGGACAACTCCCACGAGGAGCTAACTCGCTCGATATTACAAATCCGTTGCAAGGCAACTCCCACGTGCAACCACCTCGCTCGATAATAAGACTCGCTGCGAAACAACTCCCACGAGGAGACAACTCGCTCAGAGCAACCTCAATCCACACGCGCCTAAATCGCGCATCATCCAATGCTCCTACAACTTCGCTCAAGACAACTCCCATGAGGAGACAACTCGCCCGAAATTCACCATATAATCGCAAGCTCAAGTTAGCACGATTACAATCCTAGAAGCACTTAGAGATATTATGAGAATCTATATAGCCTGGCCAGCTTGATTACTCAAATTTATCTACTTGTTTTCGATGGGTCATTCATTAAAACGTGGCCACGGTCCAAACATACTTAAGACCCACGAGGTCTAACAAGGGGCACGACCCCCATATAAAAAAAAATCTTGAGAGCCTGATCCCCTCCTCAAGTACATCACGCAGAAAGCTATATGTAAACACATACAACCAACGCGTCAAAACATTGAAAATGTCGAAAAATAACAACTCCCACGAGGAGAATACTAGCTCCGTGCTACTACATTATCGTGAGACAACTTCCACGAAGACGTAACTCGATCAACTCGATTACCCCAGAGACAACTCCCACGAGGAGATTACTTGATCCGTGCTACTACATTATCGCGAGACAACTCCCACGAGGAGATAACTCGATCAACACTATTACCCCGCGACAAGATAGCTCCCACGAGGAGATAAATCGCTACTACATCGTCGCGGGACAAAACCGACGACTAGATTAATTTATATTGCGGCAACTTTGTCGCGCTATGCGCCAACGCGCATTCACACCCCTCCGACACACGCTCCAACGCGTTTTCGCATACCATTAGGCCATACGCCAATGATCGACTTCTCCAATTTTTACTCTCGACACGATTTGAGACCCATCACAACATGGCCCCCACATCGACTCGAGAGTGGGGGGCTTAATGATATGCCTAATTGGGCCAACCCAATGGGCCTACAATTTCTTTACCTACTGGGCTACGAGTCCAATATCGAAGACTAATATCACCGAGGCCCAAACACCTTCAAGTAAGGCTTGGGCCCAACAAAGCAAACCCAACCCAATAAACGACATATAAATAGAGGTTTTCCTCATTTTATTAAGGTACGTCCTATTATCTGAGCAATACTACTAATGGTATTCTCTGGACTATTTCTATGATCATCCCCCGAAAACCGCACCTATGAGGGGTTTCCGCCGGATCAACCCCCGGCTTAGCTTATGTGTTCTATGATCGCAGGTACCTCAGGATCATCAAGTTGTCAAGCTACTGATCTGCTTTGCTCTCCCAGCTCATTTTCTACACTACCTCAGGTGATCTAAATATTTTAGCATCATCAGGGTCATTTCAAAATAAGTGCCTAGTGCAATTTGTAAGTGGTCTCGGCTGTTGTGTTGAGGCGAACGGTCTACCTTGGTCTTCCCCGACCTTGTATGATCATTTCCACCCCTGTCCTTTTTATTATTTGGGCCACCTGTTTTGCTCGTATTCTTAACGCTTTTTTAGTTAGCTATTGTCTTTTGGGTCAATTGCTATTATTAGCCATATGTTGGGCAGTAGCAATTTGAGCGAAACTCATTATGTACTTCTTAAATTTTGTTTTATAAACAGGTAGGGGGTCAAGCCTAACCCCCACCCTCATCGGGTGTGTTCTCTTAAAAAAAAAAATCACTAGAGTTTATCGTGTTGGTAGTTTTAGCGTGGGTGTTCTTATTTTTAAAATTTTATGAAGGTTTTTGAAACTTTTTTAAAATATTAAACTTACGTGATTTCTAAAATTTCCGAAATTTTGAAATTTCCATGACTTTTAGAATTTGAATGAATTTCTAGATTTCGAAAGTTTTGGAATTGGAATCAATTTTGTATTTCTAATTTTTTTTTTTGGAAATTTCCGTAAAAGATCAATTGCAATCCGATCCATCCAACTTTCGCTTCTAGAGGGAGTACTTGTTTTTTCAAAGCAGAATATTCTATAATATGCGATACAATTCCTATTCTTAAAATCGAGAATGCTTCTTAAACCACAAAATATAATATTCAATAAATAAGATTTGACTTGATCGGCTTAGTAAAAAGGCTCAAACACGCCCCAATTAATTAGGTCGAGCTATCGGACTTCGTATATAAGACAAATTATGTCCTTCAATATAACCATTTTGAGTGAATTGCAAAAAAATAAAAAAACAAAAATTAAATAAAAATAATGCCTTATTAGTAGATAATACTCTATAAATTGTATAAATATTTCAAAAATCCAGCAAGTTACGGAAACAAATGTTAAATTTTACATATAAATCATATTAAATGCAATAATTAAAATATATGAATTTGTTTGAAAAGTTGATAAAAAAATGTAAACAGTTACAATATTTTTTAAACAGTACAATTTACATATTTTTTTTTTCATCTCAAATTTTAACAATATAAAATGTAAATATTCGTCAAAATGACATAATTTAGTGTGACCGTGGATTTCAATCCCCTCCACCACATCCACCACCGCATCCACCACCATCGCCGCCATCATGACCGCCGCTACCACCACCACCACCACAACAGCAACCCTGATACGAATATTCATCATATTGTATTTCCTCAGCAATCTGTACATGTGTTTCGAATATTTCCATGTTGCCATCCTTCTCCTTTGTGTTCGTTTGTGGCTGCGGCGGCCTCCCGGCAACTCCAGCTGGCGGCCGCGGCGGTACAGGGCCAGCAGGGGCGGTGCGAACGTAACACGCATTGATCGCACATGGTAATAAACAAACGACGACAAAAACCGCGACAACGATGGCTACAATCACAGCGGTGCTTACCCCGTCACTATACAATTTAAACAAATATTTAAATTATTAGAATTTAGAACACCACCGAATTAGCTTTCCTTTTCGAAAAAAAAATAAAAAAATTAGAGAATCATATGTGTATGTATATATAACCCCATTTTGCAGTGTGTCCGAAGAAGAAATGCTTTCGAGCGCCCGAGCTTAAATTCTATAGTACGTCGTGGCTAATAAACGAAACTGCGTATCCGATGCATGGATCGAAGTTATTATATAAAAGAGATTTATAACCATATATATATGGAACAGTCAAATGTAATTAACTTTTATTATCAGGAATCATATGTTTCCAGGAAATTGCATTTTTGTGCTTTTGTCTTTTATTTATTGTCATTTTCCTATTGGCAATTTGGTGAAATCTGAAACCATCTTCATTCATCAATTATTGAATAACAAGTTATTAGTTACTATTAGTAATATAGTCCTATTTTGCATGATTTTTGATTTCATGACGCGACAAATAAACTTGACGCATTTTACTTATATGGACGCTTGGAAATTTATAAATTCGACATCTAATTTACTATTGGTAGAACTTTAATTATGTGAGACTACACATTTATAAACCAAATTAGAGGAGCATTTATAATTTTAAGTGTCCATATAAATAAATTTTTGCGAGTTTGTTATGTGCATCATTAAACTAAAATTCGAAGTTTGAGTAAAATAGAACTAAAAATACTAATTTTGCATAGTTATTGCATGTAAAATTGAAATATGACAACTTATAGTAACAATGGCGTATTCAGTATTTTTGCCAAGGATGTTCGGCATAGAATGTAGCAAACAATATAAATAACATTTAATAAAAATGGTAGACAAAAATTACAATTTTCCTATTTTTAACAATTAAAATAATTAATGACTGCTAGAGCCTAGATGCAATAAACCCATAATATTACCGTATGAAATGTTGGCTTTCTTGGGGTTTGAAAACCAGCAGAAATGTACGGAGAATTATTCAGAAATCTCTTACAAGCCTATGCAGCACGCACACGGAAATAGTGATATGAGAAACAGGAAAATGGACATGGGAAAACAAATACGGGGATACGGCAACTTACGGAAAACGTGTAGATGGTATATAATTATAAATACGCTATATAAACACATATAAATTATTTTATATATTTTCATACAAACATATTCAAAATAAATTTGACTATCAACTATCA